TAGCAATATTGACTGGTATATTATAGCACCACATATGAATGCCACTTGAAAAGCAGTGATAGGTATTATTTACGGAAAAAAATTGAAAATGATTTTGTAAATAAAAAAGAATCCCTTCCTACCTAATTTTTTGGAGGAACCACACATATATTTTTGTTTGGCCTAATGTATTGTGCATCCCTGCCAAGTTCTCAACAGACTACTCATACATTTTTATCATTCAGGTGGGACAACAATGATATGCAGCAATACGATGACGACTTGGATAGCATGGAAAAATCAAGGTTTGCTATATACCCAAAACACATTATTCTATTGTTTTAATGTCTGAAGGCCAATTTATTCTGGAAATAAACTACAGATTATTATTGTCAAATTATTCATTTTATTGCTATATAAGTGAAATTTTAGGCACCGTGAATCAACATCTCGATCAAGATCCCGATCCCCCGTGAGACGTTCCAGGTCAAGATCTCGATCACACGAAAGACATCGAGATAGAGCTCGTCGAATAAACCTTATCTCAAAGAGAGTTATTATCAGCAATGTGCCATATGAAATGAAATGGCAAGACATCAAAGACATTTTCAGGAAAGAAGGTAAACACTGACACTAACAGAGCTTTAATTCATGAAAGTTTGGAGAGTTGTGCCAGCTAAAATAAGCAGATGGATTAATTGGATTTTAAATATTTCTATTATAAACTAATTTTTCATTTAATAAGGTATACACTGACATTCATAGTGCTTCAGTTTATGAAAGTTTGGAAAGTTGCACTAGGAAAAAAATGCAAATTTTTAATCCATTTCTTTTATTAAAAAAAATTTTTCATTTATTCATTAACTTGATGATCCAATGGCTAATAACATTAAGGTCTAGTGTTTTTTTATTTGACTTTTAGGAAATCTTTGACATTTATACATGTACTTCTGTTTTCTTATAGTTGGGGAGGTCCAGTATGTAGAAATGTTTGAAACACCAGATGGAAAATCACGGGGGTCAGGGTAAGTTTCCTGTAAAGGCTAACAAGTAGTGGTTACCTGACTGGTCTAATTTTAATCCCTACTCTAAATCAGTTACTGGCAATTGGATCAAATTTTTGAATAGTGGAGGGCATTTATTTTTTTCTAGAATATAGTTTAACTGGAATGATAAAAAAAATTCTATAAGCTAAAAAGTATGTGATAGGTTAATTGCATTTTCTACTTACACTAAAATTGACAATTATTTTTATTGTTTCAAAGTCTCTGCAATATCTACATTCTCTGCTATTAAAATTTATTTCTTCAATAAATCCATAACTTGATTAATTTTTCCTGGTCATGGTTTGAGATATTTTTGTAGAATCATTGAGTTCAAAGACAAGGACACAGCTAGGAAGGCAATAGAAACAATGCACAGATACAAAATGAAAGACAGGAACATAGTTGTCAGAGAGGTAAAGCATCTGGTTCACTAAGGAGAAGGAAACATGTTCTTAACACTGAATTTAAAAAAAGACTGTAGAATTTATAGAAGTGTATGGCTGTGTATCAAATTGTTTAAAATAAAAAGAAATATGCTTTTTAAGTTGAATTTGAATCTGAAAGGTATATTTTCTTCACTATAGGAACGTGAAAGTGATCAGAACCAGAACATGGGGGGTGGACGTGGAGGTGGATCCGGGATGATGGGTGGTGGAGGCATGGGAGGAGGAATGGGAATGATGGGAAATATGGGTGGAGGTGGAGGCATGATAGGTAATATGGGAGGGGGAGGCCCCGCTGTTACCCCACAGCTTCTCCAGCAGCTGGGTGTTGATGGACCGGTCACAAATACAGTATTTGTATCCAATGTAAGTACATATATAGCAAGTTTTCACCTTAAAAAGAAAATTATACATATATATGTGTGTGTTTGAATAATTGATTAATTTGAAACTGGTCTTAATTTTGCAGTGCATATAAATTGTTAGAATTTTTGTTTTAAAAGATTGATTACAAAGTTACCTGGAAGAAATTGAAGGATGTGTTTAAGTTGGCTGGAAATGTACAAAGAGTTGAGGTAATGCAGTCCAAAGACGGCAAAAGTAGAGGCATGGCCACTGTGAGCTTTGACACTCAACTAGAAGCCCTCCAAGCAATATGTATCCTCTCCATTAAAATAGTGTTAATTTTATTATATATGGATATACACATAAGCCTACATAAAATTGAAATTCTGGTTCTCAGGCCCGCACGCATCTGTTTTGAGGGAACTGCACTACTAATTTTATTGTATTTTTGATTAAATAAAAAAGTTGGTATTGCGGAGACCAATCCGGAAAAAAAGTCTGTCCCCATTTTTTCGCAGTTTAGTACTCAAATATCACTTCCGGTAGCCATTTGCAAAGAGATTTTGGCTACTTGGTTTCAAAATACGTTCGAAGACATTGCCTACGATGTTCAAACGCTGATAAGCAATGGATAAAGCAAACCTTTTGATCAGACATGGAAAGTATATCTGTGAATTAAAAAAATTAACTTTTTTTTAAAGAAAAATCGAAAATTAAAATTAAAAAAATACCTCCCTCATCTACTTTATTGCCTATAAAATGATAAATAAAATGCCCCCCTCCCGCATCTGTTTTGGAGAAAGTTGGCCTGAGAACCAGAGAATTAAATCAAGATAGCCTAAAATTATGCTTATAGACTTTTTACATTTGGGATAAAATAAAAAATAGTTTTTTTTTAAGATGCTACCATAATAAAGATAGAGTTGGTAAGTAGGATTTCCATGTGTGTGCTTTTTATCTGAATACATTACTTTGTTTGAATAATTCTTTTCTGAGCCATATTCATCTTCCTGTAAATATTTCATATCAGAGAGTAGCAATCCAATATAACCCTTAACGTTTCACAGCTATGTTCAACAATCAGACCTTGTATGATCGTCCAATGAGAGTGAAAATGGACAGCACAGCAGCCAAGAAAGGACCTGATATACCTTTACCTGGTACTCCCTCAGTTTATAAAATTGTTAGTGTTTTATTTACTTCTATTTTGAATTTATTACTAAACTTTGTGCTTTTTCATTCTAGCTGGACTGAGGTCGATTGGCATGGGACTTGGTTTAGGAGGAACACCGATTCAAAACTCCCAAGGTAGTGGTGCATTGTAGGAGCAGTCCGTCTGGTTTAAAAAATATTGATAATGTTCCATCAAGTTGAAATACGTGTGTGTTGATTGTGTTAAATATACTGCCTTATTTTTGTAGGATCAGGAATGGGGATGGGCAATCTTGGTGGAGGGGGAGGAGGAGGGATGGGCTCAGGCATGTCTTCAGTGGGAGGGCTGGGCAACATGGATAGTGGTATGGGGATGGGATCATCCTTGGGAGGTGGATCCGTGGGTTCAATGGGTGGTAATCTGTCAGGCCTCGGGCTGGGAGGAGGAAACATGGGGGGTGGATCTAATGTTGGATTGGGTGGGCTGGGGAATTCTGGTCTGTCAGGAATGGGCCTTTCAGGTGGACTGAATGACTTTAACTCTGGTATGGGTTCAGGGGGAATGGGGGGCAATTTTGGCAACTCACTGGGTGGTTTGGGAGACAATCGCATGGGCCTGAGCAGCCTCAGCAGCAATAGTCTGAGTGGAAACAGCTTCAGCAGCAACATGATGGACAACCTGGGCAGTGGGCTTGGCCTGGGAGGAAGCAGCTCTAACTACGGAGGAAGTGGGCTATCGTCCTCCTACTCTGACCGTGGAGGCAGCAGCAGGGGTAGAGATAGCAGGGATAGTGACCGGTCCACTCGTCCAGACAATTGTACAGTCTGTGTGAGAAATGTAAGGCACTCTACAGTATGTGTACTCTTGATTCAGTTATATGATCAGATACATGTATTAATTAAGAAACAAATTTCAGTTTTGATAATTATGAAGACATGAACTGAATAAATAAAAGTAATTCATTTGCAGTACTGGTATATAAAATGTAACCTGAATATATAATGTGCCAGCCCTTACAAGAATTTTGACATGATTGGGTTGCTTTTGTTCTATTGAGGGTTTATCTCTCAGTTGTTAACAAGCTGTTTCCTTTTCTTGGATATGAATAATAATTTTCAATTTTTCAGCTTCCATATTCTTTGAAATGGCAAGATCTGAAAGAAAAGTTCAAGGCTGTTGGTAAGTATTGATATTCTTCACTTACAACACAACTAGATGATTTGTTTTCTCATATGGAATGTGACCAGTGTGCATAGTTGCAGGGACCAACCGAGGGGGCCTGAGGCGAAATAGTCGCTTTTGGGCTCCAAACTTCGCTGTAATTTATCATGAAAGCGAAGTTAAAGTCGCCCTGACATTTGCAACTCCATTATTGAAAATCATGAAGAAAATATATTAAGAATCATGAAAGAATCATCAGTATTTTATAAATCCTGTTTTATTACTGCTGAAATAAACGAAACAGCAGGACACTTGCACCTGTTTCGCTAAGTAATGACCAATGCATCGAATACTCTGTCGGAACTCCTCTAGATTTTACACTTCCGGGTATGATAAAGTCCATTGTTACAAGTTATGAACAACCAGACACAAAACAGCTGGTCAGCTATATCGATGTCATGCCAAAGATGTTGAAGATGATTTTAGATCTTTTTATTGCCAAATAATTAATTCATGCTGTGAATACAGACCTATTTTACTGTTAAATTGTGTAGGTATTGACTGTGTATGAAATTACACGTCTGATATACAGAGTTCAATCAGCATGCAGTACGTAGTACATCAAAACTTTTTCAGAAAAAAATTAAGATTGAAAACAAATTTTGAAGAGATAATAACAAAATTATGACTAAGATGCAATGAGGCTTCAAATTTAAAATGAAAAGATAGAATTTAAAAGTTAATTGTGCATATTAATTATTTGCAAGCAATGAAAAAAAAAACTTTTACATTTTCATTATTTTTTTTTTTTTTGATTTGTTTTGTTTGTTGTTGTTTTTTGTTTTTGTTTTTTTTTTTGCTAGATATACCTTGTAATTGGAAAAAAAAATTCAGATTATTTTCCTCCTTCTTAAATTACTTTTACTAGGATTTCAATACAGAAAAAAATTATTGAAAAGTATTTTAAATTAAAAACAATGAAATAGTTTCATTTTTAGCTCTACTGGTCAGAGACCAGAAGAGCTTATGCGATAGTAATGCGTCCGTCGTCCGTCCGTCTGTCTGTCTGTCCGTCTGTCTGTCTGTCTGTAAACAATTTTTCAAAATGCTACTCCTCCTACAGTTTTGGTCCGATTTCAATATAACTTGGCACACAAGTAGACAACACTGAGATACATAATTTTGTGCATCGGTTTTTGATTTCGATGAACGGTGTTGCCGTGGTTACTAAAAATAGAAATTTCTGTGAAATTCTTTCAAAATGCTACTCCTCCTACAGTTTTGGTCTGATTTCAATATAACTTGGCACACAAGTAGACTACACTAAGATACATAATTCTGTGCATCGGTTTTTGATTTCGATAAACGGTGTTGCCGTGGTTACTAAAAATAGAAATTTCTTTGAAATTCTTTCAAAATGCTACTCCTCCTACAGTTTTGGTCTGATTTTGATATAACTTGGCAAATAAGTAGACTACACTAAGATACATAATTCTATGCATCGGTTTTTGATTTCAATGAACAATGTTGCCATGGTTACTAAAAATAGAAATTTCTGTGAAATTCTTTCAAAATGCTACTCCTCCTGCAGTTTTGGTCTGATTTCAGTATAACTTGGCACACAAGTAGACTATACTAAGATACATAATTCTGTGCATTGGTTTTTATTTTGATGAGTGGCAAGGATCATTTTTCTATTTATTGCTGATTTAAAGTCTCAAGTCCCAACTGCTACTTTTCTCTTCCTTTGTTTTAAGTATAAACCAGTAGAGCTACAGTCTCGACAGAGACTTCTGGTTATAAAGTTTTATGATGATCAGTGAGCATCACGCACGCTAAGAAGTCTCCCTAAATTTCAAAACTTCTCCCTAAATTTCTCAGAGGGAGAAGTGAAGTCTCCCTAAATTTTGGGTCTAGGTTGGTCCCTGTAGTTGTATAAAATATTCTTTTGAACAGCTGATGTAAGGTTTGCTGAAATCAAGATGGAAAATGGAAGATCTGCTGGCTGGGGCTTGGTGCGCTTCGGAAACCCTGATGATGCACAGAGAGCAATTTGTATCCTTTGATTTAAGCTCATCTCTAGCAAACCAATCAGTGTTAAAGTTCTAGGAGGTAATCTCATATCCAAGTAACTATGAGCCCTTCCAGGACCAAAGTGGCATGGAAGATGCATTTAGAGATCTGCTTTGGATTCTGGATTTAACCTAGATTTATTAAAGCAGATTTACATGTATTTCCAAGTAACTTTCCATATCTGGACCAAACTTGGATGAACAATGCATCTAGGAATGCCCACTACAGACATTCTCAGGAATCTGGATCTGACCTTTCTTTTCCAGGTGAATGAACAGATTCCTGTGAATCAGTGATCCATTTCTATAACTATAACTAACTATAAGCCCTGTCATGGTGACTGAACTTGTATTAATGACGCATGTTACCAGGGATATAAACTACCAGATGTACATTGGAACCTGTATCTGACCTTCATTTGTAGGATGATAGAATAGTCACTGTTACAATTTTCCCTGCTACAAGGACCTAGATGTATAAATACTAAAGCAAACTTATATACTGGTTAGATGTAGTATCTAGGAATGCTCAGTACCATTTGAAATGTTAATGAAAGTGATGAAGTTGAAATTGTTTTGTTCCTTTTTAAATGTGAGAACACACTGTCTTATGTTGAAATTTCCATTTCTATATATATATTTTCTTTGATGTTTTGCTAGCTCTGATGAACAGATCCCGAATTGATGGAAGGGAAGTGGATGTCAAAATGTACCGTTGATCAGAAATGGTATTGTTGTTGACTCTTGATCCTCTTGTGTTGTACAGAGTTGGGGTTGACATCAATTTTTTCCTTAGTTTTTGTCATTGGAAGGTGTTGCCTAGTTTTTGTGTTGACCAGTCACAAGAACACCTGAAAACTGTGTATATATATAAATTGTAGTGTGGATCTGTGTTGTCCTTCTGTTTTATCTATTGGAATACTTCATCGTGATTTTTATAAGACATGACACATGGGGACAATTTTATGCTGTATTTCACGTGGGCAGACTTGTCATAGAATCATTTGAACCATTTACGTTGTCGTCTTTTATAATATTGAATCAGTGGACCATAAATAAAGCCTTCATACCTTAGAATAGAGTTATTTTATTCAAAAGTGTAGTTTGTGTGTGCTTTTTAATTTTTTGTTGAAATTATTAATTGTCACGCATCTTAAGAATATTTCTTTTGGAAGGAGTTTCAATTCCAGCATATTTTCTGTGTTTACTCTGGGGCCTAATAAATGTGGATTTGTTTTGTTTACAGATATTACACAAAGGATAAACTGAAAATCTAAACTGAACATCCTTGTTTCATTTAATTGTGTTTAAGAAAAAGCGGAGATGAAAGGGAATAAAAAATCAAACAAAAAGATGACAAAAACATGAATGTTAAAATTTGCTTGATCTTAATAAATTCTGGTATTCAGTAGGAGATCTCTATTCTACCTTTGTTTCTCATGTGTGAATTTCTAAAAATTGTGCCTTGACATACGAGCAGATTTTGAAGTTAAAATATGAGATATAAAATAATTCTGGCCAACACTGTATTTTGATGGTATATTTGTAAATTTTATTATGCATGACTCCAGTAAAAGTTTTCATTGTGTAAAGTAAAAAAAACCTGTAATTAGATTCTAACAAGGGAGTGTAAGTCATATGTACATATAGTTTAGTTATTAATTTAATTAGTTTGTAGATTGTTTTTCTTAAGAGATGAGTTGACAAATTGAGAGCTGTTTGTCTGAAAACTGCATTGAGATTTGTAGTGCTCTGAAACCCAAACCAGATGTCTTGAGTCAGAAGCCATTATAAGTTGCCTGGGTATCTTTGATTGTGAGGTTCCAGGTGTACCAATGTTTGGGGACAAATGCTGATCCAGTTTCAGGCTTGAAGATCTCTGAATGGAGTTGGTTTGTGTAAGATTTTTGTACAGGTAAATGTATTGTTTTATTGGCTGGATATTACAGTAACTTAATATGGGCTGCGGGATTTTTTCAGTTTTATCAATTATTGTATTATGAGATTCTTTCATGTGCTGATAGTACTTCAGCACTTTTATTTGCATTTCAATTATTGTTAGTTGTCAGACATTGTGGGAGATGTGTTAAAAGAAGCTGTAGGCACGAGGGGTATTTCTTTGTGTTAAAGTATTTGTTTTTGTTAATTCATGATATTTTCAGTACAGATATTATTTTTGGCAGATGTCCAAGAATGCAGAGTTATTGCCCTTTTCCAAGGCAATATGAAGGTTTATTCCATTGTTCAGCTTTGGGATTTCAGAGGCATTATTTTGTTATAATATGTCTCATTAATGGTGGTACATTTTCTTTCTGTGTGATTTTGTTGATGGAATTGGTTTCTTTCATAAGTATAGTATAAATCTTATAATTTTTTCATAAGTGAAAAAAATGGCAAAGCTAAAATTCTTTAAATTTAAAATACAGGACCATTAGCTACCCTCATTTCAACATACTATGCATGTTGTTTTAGATTCAAGAGCTAGATTATGTTCAGCTGCATGGGAACACAAAACATGGGACTGGGCTCGCCAGGGAAGAAAATTAGGTAATTAAAGTAATTTAGTGTCCTTTGAATTGTGGCTTGGATATTGTAATCCTGACCTTAATACTTGAATATAAAGCAAGCTTAATTCCCTACTTTTTTTGCAAATTAGTGAGGTAAATGAATACCAGTAATTCAGTGTAAGATGGTTAGAGACTTTCCAAACAGATTATTATCCAAGTGTAATCAAGCTCTTTCAGAAAAGAACTTTCAAGAAGAAATTATTCTACTTCATTGTTTCATGAGAATGTTTCTCATTTTTCAGGTGTATTTTACCATTAAGAAGAGATGATTCAGATCGCATTCCTAAATGTCACAAATGAATACGAGATCTAAAAGGAAAAATCCTGCAGAGGTAATATATGACACTAACAGTTTGTAGCTCATCTGACCTGAAAGTTCAAGTGAGCTTGTCTGGTATTTGTTTGTATACTTTTCAACTGTTTCTTAAGAACCACTGGGCCAGTTTCAACCAAGCTCACTACAATGCATGCTTGGTTGAAGGGAATACGTGTTTTTTGTTCAAATGAAAATTTAATGTTGTCTTGTAAAATAGTGAACTTAAGAATTCCTGGACCAGAAAAGATGACACCTAAAAGCTGTATTATATAGTGTAGATTCAAATTTATTCAAATCTTGACCACCCAGTGGTAAATTTGGGTCACAATAGGCAATCAAATTGTGTATAGAAGAAAAAATCTTTGAAAAGCATCTTATCAAAAACGGTAAAGCCTTGAATAATCTTATTAATATGGAAGGATTTTCAGATAGGGTAGATACAAGTTTAAATCATGACCTCTGAGGGTTGTGGTAGGACCACAGTAGGAAACGAAGCTTATTATAGTGAAGAAATTGTACGATGAAGGAAGAGGGGCCGTAGTGACTTGCATTTTTTACCAGGAACCCCATGTTTTGTATTTTAAAAGCTGCCCTTTCATTTCTTTTTTTTTCTTTTTTTTTTTGGAAGAATTTTACATAAAATTGTTCTTGCTTTAGGGAAAAATGAATTGATTTCCTAAAGGAAACTTGCTATTTGACTCAATTTGATTCAAAAGGTCTGAAGATTTTGAAAAACAAAAGCTGTCATATATATATAGTCATAAGAAGTTTTATAGCTATAGGTCATCTATATACCAGTATGTATGCAAAGTCTGATGTATAACTGTTAGAGAGAATGAAACATTGGTATCTAAATCTTGTTTCTTTCTGCAGGTTGAGGAGATGTGGTGTCCTGATGAGCTTATACAGAGAGGATGTCATGAGACAATTAATAAAATGGTTGAAATATATCTAACTTGTTAAGTTGTAATTTTATGAAAGATTGTTATACATGTGTATACATGTACATAGTAGATGTCATTCATTAAAGAATGAGACCATTCAAGAATAACCATTAGTTTAATGCAGAACATAAAGCATGGTGATCTCATTGCAGAACTTACGAAACCGTGGAGAAGTTATAAACTGTTGGGAATTAATGATTAAGTCATATGATGCTATGGGACAGTGATTCATAACAAATACAGAATGCAGAAAAAAATTCAACCATACACATTTACAAGCATGTAACTATTTAATTACTTGAAAGATAAATTTTTTAGGCAAGGTTCTGCTAACAATTAGAAACAGGTAATTAGGCATTACAGAAAACACCTCAACCAATGTTGTCTTTAAGTTATTTTCTAAAAAAAAAAAAAATTAATTGAAAAAGTACAATTAAAAAAAGATGAAGTAATATTTTTTAAAAAACATACTGACCAACTTATCCACTGTAAAAATAATAGGTTGGCAATAGCTGTAGATCTATAGCTCGCCAGTCTGAAAAAATTGGGATGGACGTCCAGAGAGCTACAGTGCCACCCAATAAATACATTTGTAAGTATATATTTATAGGGCACAAAAAATGCATGGTTTCTTGATTTATTTCTCCGTATATTGTAAGATTTCCTCTAAAGATATTACAATCTGTGTGTTCCAAACATATTTTTTTCCCTATTTCCACAATAAAACATTCCTATAAACTGTTGTGAATAACTCCTGAACCTGAAAGAGAGACCATTGCTTGTTTATGTGTCTATGTTGGACGTGACTGGTACAAAAAGCTTTGTTGTGGAAGTAGTAAGAAAATATGTTAGAAACACGTATTTAGTAGTAGTTTTAAAATCAACGGAGAGATAATTTGAAAAAAGCTCATTTTTTGTTGCGCAATAAATATACACTTTTTTCAATGGATGGAACTGTAGCTCTCGGGTTTTCCATCCCAATTTCTTTTTGGGACCAGCGAGCTACAGATCTGCAGCTGCAAACAGTTTTTTAGCTCTACTGGTCAGAGACCAGAAGAGCTTATGCGATAGTAATGCGTCCGTCGTCCGTCTGTCTGTCTGTCCGTCTGTCTGTCTGTAAACAATTTTTCAAAATGCTACTCCTCCTACAGTTTTGGTCTGATTTCAATATTATTTGGCACACAAGTAGACTACACTAAGATACAAAATTCTGTGTATCGGTTTTTGATTTCGATGAACGGTGTTGCCGTGGTTACTAAAAATAGAAATTTCTGTGAAATTCTTTCAAAATGCTACTCCTCCTACAGTTTTAGTCTGATTTCAATATAACTTGGCACAAAAGCAGACTACACTAAGATACATAATTCTGTGTATCGGTTTTTGATTTCGATGAACGGTGTTGCCGTGGTTACTAAAAATAGAAATTTCTGTGAAATTCTTTCAAAATGCTACTCCTCCTACAGTTTTAGTCTGATTTCAATATAACTTGGCACAAAAGCAGACTACACTAAGATACATAATTCTGTGTATCGGTTTTTGATTTCGATGAACGGTGTTGCCGTGGTTACTAAAAATAGAAATTTCTGTGAAATTCTTTCAAAATGCTACTCCTCCTACAGTTTTAGTCTGATTTCAATATTATTTGGCACACAAGTAGACTACACTAAGATACAAAATTCTGTGTATCGGCTTTTGATTTCGATGAACGGTGTTGCCGTGGTTACTAAAAATAGAAATTTCTGTGAAATTCTTTCAAAATGCTACTCCTCCTACAGTTTTAGTCTGATTTCAATATAACTTGGCACAAAAGCAGACTACACTAAGATACATAATTCTGTGTATCGGTTTTTGATTTCGATGAACGGTGTTGCCGTGGTTACTAAAAATAGAAATTTCTGTGAAATTCTTTCAAAATGCTACTCCTCCTACAGTTTTAGTCTGATTTCAATATAACTTGGCACAAAAGCAGACTACACTAAGATACATAATTCTGTGTATCGGTTTTTGATTTCGATGAACGGTGTTGCCGTGGTTACTAAAAATAGAAATTTCTGTGAAATTCTTTCAAAATGCTACTCCTCCTACAGTTTTAGTCTGATTTCAATATAACTTAGCACACAAGTAGACTACACTAAGATACACAATTCTGTATATCGGTTTTTGATTTCCATGAACGGTGTTGCCGTGGTTACTAAAAATAGAAATTTCTGTGAAATTCTTTCAAAATGCTACTCCTCCTACAGTTTTAGTCTGATTTCAATATAACTTGGCACACAAGTAGACTACACTAAGATACACAATTCTGTATATCGGTTTTTGATTTCGTTGAACGGTGTTGCCGTGGTTACTAAAAATAGAAATTTCTGTGAAATTCTTTCAAAATGCTACTTCTCCTACAGTTTTAGTCTGATTTCAATATAACTTGGCACAAAAGTAGACTACACTAAGATACATAATTCTGTGTATCGGTTTTTGATTTCGATGAACGGTGTTGCCGTGGTTACTAAAAATAGAAATTTCTGTGAAATTCTTTCAAAATGCTACTTCTCCTACAGTTTTAGTCTGATTTCAATATAACTTGGCACAAAAGTAGACTACACTAAGATACACAATTCTGTGTATCGGTTTTTGATTTCGATGAACAGTGTTGCCGTGGTCACTAAAAATAGAAATTTCTGTGAAATTCTTTCAAAATGCTACTCCAAATACAATTTTAGTTTGATTATAATATAAATGTGGCATGCAAGTAGACTGCACTAAGAACATAAAGAGACTTAATCAAGGATCATTATTCTATTTATTGCTGTTGAAAAGTTTCAATTTCCAACTGCTTAAGTACTTTTCTCTTCCTTTGTTATATAAGTACAAACCAGTAGAGCTTCAGTCTCGACAGAGACTTCTGGTTTTAAGCTTGGCCTAAGTCAAACCTAGGATATAAAGCAACGAAGTTTCAGAGTTCTCATGCCTTGAATAATTATTCAATTGCAAGTTTTATACAGAAAGGCCAGATAGTTAATTCTTGGTAATAGACCTGCTCCAAACACTTGAACCTGGACATCCTGAAAATGTAGGTCAGATTCAGGGTCTGAAGTTCGATAATGTGCATCCTTAGATGTATCATCCATGCAAGTTAATTTGGTCAATATATATGATGAAGAATCTTTTATATAACACCCACTTTCACCAAAGGATGCTTTATTTCAAGTTTGGCTAAATTTGGCCAAGTGGTACTTGAGAAGAATTTGAAAACGGACGGAGGGATAGCTAGATAAACGGACAACAGGTGATCAGAAAAACTTTCTTCAGCTTTAAACAGCTCAGGTGAGCTAAAAACTGTATACAATCAAACTTTGATTAAAGGTGCATGCATTACATTCTTCAAAGACCAAGAGACGACACAGTGTGTATGTGAATGAAATGGGTTTACTTTATGTTCTCATAATTAAGGCACTAGTATCATTTTACAAATGAAAGGTTTTTTTTTTTTTTAATGTATATAAATAGAAATAATATTGCCAATCTATATTGATCCTTTACAGAGTTGCACTACACACATATACTCAAGTGACTGTTAAGACATTTGGGACACCTGTTATCTGATATAATTTAGGGGAAACTTGTGGCTATATAAACACAGTACATGTAGAACAAGAGGCCCATGGGCCTTATAGGTCACCTGAGCATCATGCAACAACTTTCCAGTGATTGAATTTGGTTCATGTTCTAAGCCAGATGCTATGGCATTCACAGTTTTGAAAGAGGCACCATTGGTCATCATAACTATGTTACGAATTTGACATTCTCCACTATTGTTATAAATAAGTAAACAAGATGTTTCTTAAATTGTGATATGAATCGTTAAAATTAATGATTCGATGAATGATTGGATGATTGATATGTATTGACATTTATTCTTACTTACTTATTATTATTGATTAATGTTATTTGAGATTTATTATGAGCAAGGTGCAAAGTGTTTACCTCGCTCCGAATTTCCTCCACGTTTGAGGGATACGTAATGTAAACACACCATTAATTGGTGTACAAATGCAATTATATAGTACTGAGTGTGCTTACCTTTTATATTGATAAATAATAAATCCATTCATTGATAATTAGGGTAAAACGTTATAATTACACTCTGCTTTTCACACTAAGCGGTAAAAGATGTAAACTACATTCGGAACACCTCAGATGAGTATGATAGTTAAGTGTATCCGAAGTTTTCCAGCTATTTGACGTTATGGCGCCAAATCTCATGCATTGAGTGATTGACGTCATAAAGGTTGTAAAGGCTTTATATACGAGCTCCCAGCGTCTAACGGTCAGACGCCTGCGGTCTCACCCACGGAAAGGTCTACCTGACGGACCAACTCCGAACAAGGCAGTCTCCCCATCACAAAGGGTTCTGTTTTAGACAGAGAGACAAATTGACATGATGGGTAATTATTAACCTGAATTTGTTAGCAACGTTTGATTGCGTTATTCATTCATTTTACCCAGACACAAGTAGTGGTCTGAACTCATCGTTATTGTTTATTGTTGAGTAGTATTTACTAAGGCACAAGAAGTGACCTGAACTTGATATTTATAACTCCTGACATTATTACTAACAACAAACTAACAAATGCATGGTGCATTGTATTGAGTTTTGCTGAGATGTTAGCATAACTTTTTGTCCCTATACAATTAGTTGTTTGCTACATCCTTTGAATGTTAACAAGTGCTAAACGCATTGTATTGAGATACTAGCATAACTTTTTGTCCCTATACAATTAGTTGTTTGCTATAACCTGACATTTTATATTTATACTCACTAAGTGAAGAAATCACTAGTTCAATTTTTATTCAAGACCTTAAGATATAAGGTCTATTCGTTTATTAAAGGTCTATTCGTTTATTAAGGGGTTTGTTTAAGGGTGGTTTTTATAAATTAACATTTGTTGGAAAGGGTGGTTGGTTTGTTTTTATTTCAGGTGAGGACCGCAGAGCCAAAGAAGAGTATT